GAAAAGTGGCGTGTGGCTGTACGCCGCGGCGGCGCGCCAAAGTGCGGCAAGCTTGTGATTCAGCCTGATGTACCAAACTCACACACTGAAAGTCTGTGCGCTGCCATGGTTCGCCAGAGCGTAGAGGTTTTTTTTTGTTTTCTTCACCCGTCAACATTGGGTTAAAGCTAATTTTTCTGTAAGATGTGGTGACCACCTCGCAACAAGCTTCTACATGCAGTAGAGCTAGGCTCATTCCATTTGGCGAATTAGGCTCCTGTCAATCACTGCGAAACTCTGTAGTGACACGTCATGGTATTTCGCTCACTCGCTTAGTTCACTCCTTGGAGGAGAGTACCTGTAGCAGTACGACCCCATAACCTGAAGTTCAGCGTAGTTTCTCAGATTGGGTCATACCAGGTCCACTGCCAGGTCCACACTATGATGACCACCTTGTGACGAGCTTCCACACACTGTAGAGCCAGCCTCATTCCGTTTGGCAACTTAGGCTCCCTCCAGTCACCACAAAGCTCTCCGGACCTGACTAGAGAGTATACATCGTGGTGATTGATGGAAGCCTAAGTCGCCAAACGGAATGAGCGTGCGGAAGCTCGTCACAAGATGGTCACCAAAACACCCTGTAACTAAACTGATTTTAAGAAAAGTGTGTTCTGGAGTTCTTGTACAGAATTTCATGGGTTTGCTTCCTGTTGTAGTTAATCAAAGGTTTCATCACTAGGGTGATGTAGTAATTAAAATGCACCACAGCACAACACTTTGGTAATTCAATCAGGTCACATTAACATCAATCAGATTTTTTTTTTTTTTTTTTTCCCCTCCCCTCAGCCCAATCACAATATGAACCACCAGTGCCAAAGTGGATATGAACATTCAGAGTAACCGAATGGGAAAAATCAGAAGCATGGGAAACTTATCACCCTGCACCATAATTTTTTTTTTTTTTTTTTTTTTTTTTTTTTTTTTTTTTTTTTTTTTTTTTTAGTAAAGTGTATAAAAAAGGGTTTTAGTCTACTTCTAAGGGGCTGTTTATCCTCATGAATGCAGTGTTGTGTGCACAACTTAGAGCAGGCTTGAACGCATATGACATGACAACATCCTGGTGTGAGAGTTGGTCTTCCATAACATGATCGGACATCATCCTATCATGAATGTCTTTAGATGGAGTGATGTTGAATCAGTAAGGTAAATGGTACTTGGAGTAAATAGATCAGCAAAGTCCAAGATATCTCACCCCCCCCCCCCTTATATATAACAGTTGTCTCAGACTGAAAAATAAAAGTTTCCTAATTTATACATTTATTCTGATGCAGTCCTAGGTACAGGGTGTCTGAGAAGAAGATTACATGCTTTACTTCAATATAAATTCCATTTAGAGGTTTGACTAATAACCATCATTTGGTATTGAGAGAAAGTACAAGTTCGACATTGACATTCTTTTTAGGAATATGGTAGATAATTTACAAAGTAATTGAGGATCCAATTTGTTTCTTCATGTCATAGTCAGTGCTGACACCTCTGCTTTTTATAGGTAAATCTGACTGGTAATTAAAGCTGTTATGGCTACAATGATACATTTGTGCAGGTATCATTACTTTGCTCTTGGTGCTACGAGTAACATTATAGCTATCCATGTTTGGAGATCAAGTATCCTATTCATTTGCTTGTGCATTTTAAATGATTTTTTAGTTGTTTAAAAAAGCTACACTGCTAAGCCTGAACAAGTGTATGTTTTGCCAAAATTTGATATTGCTCCTGTAAGATTTGTACTTTTGATACAAACCTTATGGGAACAATTTTTTCAGAAAATAGATATTTCCAAAAGTATATTCATTATTAATTTTTAAGCTTCATGTAGAAATTGTTAAGAGTGTGGGGGCAACCTTAAAATTAATCCTAGTACAGTAGCAAATGCATTCTGATTATTCCCAGCATCATTGGATTAATTGCAGTATTACTCTGTTTTAGTAATGCATTAATTCAACATTATACTTTGCAGCTTCGTCTCATCTATACACCAGTAAACTGTAAATGGTGGCTGAAATTATCCATGTGCATAATTGCTTGTAAATTTTCATTCATAAATTTGCACAATTTGTTCTAGAATGTATCAAAAATGTTTCTGAAATGCTAAGAACTCTCACTGAGGAAACTACCACTCCTTTCATACCTTTATATTAACCCCTTGCTCATTTGGTGCTTAGGAACCCTTTGTTACACCTTTAGTTCTTGAAGAAATCCTGGATCCACAATTGATTTTAGTAATGCCATTTGAGTGACTTACTGGTTTCTGCAGTGCCATTTGAGTAAAAGAGGACACATTTGATTGAAATGTAACAATTTTGATGCTCTCCTTTATTATTTACCAATGACTTTTAATGCATTTTGACAGGAGTATAGTATTGTACAATAAGATATTACCAAAATTATAATTACTGTAAGATTTTAATATGCCTATGACTAAAGATTGAGTATGACTATAGAAGATTATCTGTTCCTTCAGTTTATGCAAGATATATATATATGTATTTTTTCATTTCACAATAATGGCAAATTCTGTAAATATAGTGTTTCATAATGCTGCTGAAACACACAGATAACTCTATAACTGTTTTTGCTCTATGTTTTAGAACAATTTTTGTTTACTATATATTATCCATAAAGGAATACTTTTACTTTATGTATGCATACTCAAGAAAATTATCACACACCATTGACTATATGCAAAAGCCTTTTTATTAACTCCTTGGATCCAGGTGCTTCATTGCCCGCACATGGCATTAGGCTTACTTGAGTGACCTCTCAGATGGGCGTATGGGTTGTAGGCTGGGAGCACACAAACCTTTGCAATGTTATCTCTTTTTCTGTACAAGCATTATTAGCTCTTTTTTTCCCATTCTCCAATGTCTATATTTGCCTTTTTATATGTAGTATCCAGGTGGCAATAGACTGTTTTCCTTGCACAGACTCCATATCATCTATCTAGGTAGTTCTTAACTCAGTGCAATAATGATAACAGTAAGTAACATTTTCTTGTTTGAGTGATTTTGCAAGTTTTTCATAATATTACATTTTCTGTAAACAACTTGCACCATTGGTCATGGTAGGCAGGAATAGGATGCTGAACTCAGAAATAGCATCCTCCTGGTATCCCTTCAGTCATGCCTTGTAAATGGTACATTCCACACTTGTTTGTTGATGGAAATAAAGCTGAAAGTCTCATGATAGCAAGTTCTCTTCACCCTGGCCCTCAGCCAATTTTTTCCATTATGGTGTGTTCATATCCCCCCCCCTCTCTCCTTAAGCCAAATTTTTTCATAATGTGATGGTTAGGTTTTTTGTGTTCTGGTGATGTACAGTGTCGTCATTAGTATTCTTACTGGTATGTGTGATCAGCCTTACTATGGCTTCTTCAGTTTATAGCTGAATATTCTGGACATTGCTTTCTTCTTCTTGCATCACATTGTTTTCTTCTTCTTGCATCACAAATTTATTTGCTTGTTGATGAATTTTCATTTTTGGTGGTTGAGGTTTCCTGTGATTATATTGTATGGGTAAATAAACGATTGTAATGTTTTTTTGTTTTTGTTTTTTACTGCTGTTAGTTATCCTAATTTTTGGAAAGATTTCTTTTCTCTTTTATTATTAAGATATGGATTTATAAAAAATACAAGAAAGATATATCACAGCCGTATAATTTCAGTGTCTGAACTTTAGTCATCATTTCAGTTTATGAGGCACTGATTTTGGTAAATTGTATAAAATCTGTTTAAACATAGAAAGTTTTAGTGTTTTTAATTATGTTTTTTCTCCACAGATTGACTGGAGTGAAGGATGGCTAATGGGTTTAGTAGTATTCCACATCTTCCTCACAACATTCACAGTTATGACTCGAAATCACCACACAACCCAAGCTGTCCTCTTTTTCCTTTTGCTACTCACTGTGCGTTCCTCAGAGACCATTAACCAATATGCGGCAAAAAATTGGCAGTCTTTCAGCCGTCAGCAGTACTTTGACTCTCAAGGCCTATTCATCAGTGTTGTCTTCTCCATGCCTGTTCTCTTTAATTGCATGATGATGGTGGTGAGTATAAATTCATATTGTCCTTTAGTAATTACTATAATGGTCAATGTTGCCATTATTAATAGTATATTATTGATGTAATGAATATTACTGCTAGTGAATTTTTATCACAACTTTGAAAAGCAGTTCAAATTCTGTTTCTTTTTCATCCCATTTAAGGGCAATGTATATGGTATGTGCTACAGTATACCTACATAAACAGGAGTCTTTGGGCATTTGTTGGAGTGTCATCTATATAGGGTGGGTCTTAAAATGCAGTGTTAATGTGGCTTTGTTGTTATTCTCAGATAAACTGGTTATGGTTAAGCAGCAACATGATGGTTACCTATAAGAGAGTGGAACTAGAGGCAAAACTTCGCAATGACTCACGAAGGCGAAGCGAATCACAAAGAAGTGAATCAAACAGAGGTGAGGCGGCTTCTGAACAAGCAGACGAAAGCAAGAAGAGCAAATGAGGACTAGTATATGGTTTATTATGAGGATGTGGTTAGTTTTGAGAGTGGTTGGATATATAGCTACAAGTGTGCAGGTCAGCAGTCACAATTTATTTCCATGGATCTTAAGGTTTGGCTTAAATTACATAGAAACAAAACTTCTGTGAAATATATTCTGCATAATATATAGATTATTAGCTTAAATCATATATAAACATTATTATGCATATGATAAAGGGTGTAATACTTACAAATGCTATACATATTTCATTTTGATTTCAAATTGTTTATATTATGGAAATATAGGATGTGCAGTGAATCATAGCTTAAGAGTTGGTCTAAGAGAGAGTATTCTGAAATGAACGCTTTGTACACCTTGTCATTTGTGTTACACTAGTAGAAAAAAATAATAATATGATGTATTAGCTATATTTAACTCTCTCTCTCTCTCTCTCTCTCTCTCTCTCTCTCTCTCTCTCTCTCTC